TGTTTTTCTATTTTCCTGCCACATATGACACCAGGCTCAGCATGAGGAGGGGACAGGAAGGATCCTCTTCCAGGAACCCCAACACTGACACATTCTTGCTTCCCCTCTCCCCCCACACTCTCTCAAACCTAGGGGCATCTTGAGCTCATCTGAGTACTGCCGGGAGAAGGGACTCCCTGTGAGTATGATACTGTAGCTATAGGCTAGCCAGAAGGCAACAGAGCACCACCTCCCAGTCCAGGGAACACATTTCTGTTCATGTATATTAAGAGCAAACTGGCTTTCCTTGGCAGCCATACCACAAAGTTAATTCTAAGTCACCAGCTAAAACCTGTAGGTCTTCTGTTTCTCTAAAAAAATACTGCTTTTTTTTCACTTGTGAAGTTCAATTTATGAAATCAAGTACAAAATCTTGCATTTATTACTATTAATTATAGTATAGTCAAACCTCAGTTCTCGGATGTCTCCCATCTCAAACAATTCAGTTCTTGACCAAGCTGTTCACAGAAAAAATGTCTTAGTTGTAGAACAAAACTTCCGTTCTCAACCTGACAACCCATTCATGCTGATACCTATATGCTCAGTCACACGCCTGTCAGGCGACAAACAAATGAGCGAATGCATGAATATGAGTCAGTTTACTGCTAAACCTCATGTTGTTAACATCTCAGGAAATTGTGCTGTGAATATTTTGTGGGGTTTTATGCTTTTGTTATTGCTTATTATTATTAAATACGTACAATAAGTCACCATGGGTCCTAAGAAAGTTAGTGATAGGAGCAAAGTGAAAAGGAAAGTTGTGAGAACAATGATAGAGCTTAAAAAAGAAATAATTGCAAAGTATGTAGACCGTGTCTGATCTGGCTACCGAGTATGGCATGGCAAAATCAATGATTAGCACAATTTTAAAACATAAAGAGGCTATCAAGAGTGCTGATGTTACGAAGTGGTGAAAGTGCTCACAAGACAACAATCAGGAAATTGGAAAGGTTAAAACAGGGAATCTTTTGGGGGTCTAAAACAGATTAATTCAATTTATGTTATTTTTAATGGGAAAAAATGATTCGGATTTTGAACACATCACTTCTCAAACAGCCTTCTGGAACAAATTAAGTTCGAGAACCGAGGTTCCACTGTATTTACCTATGGTGGAGTTGGAAGAGAAAAAAGAGATGGTTTTAAGAAGGAATAGAGTCCCTGGCCGGTTTGGCTCAGTGGATAGAGCGTCGGCCTGTGGACTGGAGGGTCCCAGGTTCAATTCCCATCAAGGGCATGTTCCTAGGGCACGTGCGGGAGGCAACAGCCTCCCTCAAAGATATCTCTGTGACATCTTACTCCACAACGCTATCCCTAATCAGGATCCTACCCTAACTTAAGGGACAAGTACACATAATTTCTAAACATCAGATGCAGAAATACCACGACTATCACAAAGAGACTCACTATTTCGTATACAATAGCTGCTTCAAAGAAGTGACACTTTTTCATTAAATAAGCACTTCCTCTCTGCAAGGGTCTAATATCTTAAAAGATCATCCAAAAAAGTTAACACCAAAATCAACATTTTGGAAATGTTTCAAGAATAAATCATAAGCTACCTGTCAGCACCTACACTTTATCCTGTGAAGTGTGACTCTGGAAAGCTGTCATTCATATTCAACTCAACTGAATCAACAGCTCATCTCTTACCTGACTTGGGCTGATCTTTTCTTCAGAGGCTGTGGAATGTTGACAGAGGTCTCTTACAATTTCCACCTGGTCCCCTCGATCTCTGAAGACCTGTAGCTCCATGCTCTCGGTTTTCTCTTCCCTATCCAAGATCCCAGAAGCCACAGAGCCTCCTGCTGTGGAGTCCACCAGCCCACACCGCCCAGGCTCTCCCCCATGATCCGAGGTCTCAGAGGTTTCTTCACAACTTCCCGCGTGAGTCCTCTGCAGCTCCAAGGGCACTGTCCTACTCTGACTTATAAGAGAGCTTGAGGCTCCAGGTTTTACATCTGGAATCACACTTGGCCCCGGGTCAGCATGAAGCTCTTTGGAGACACTTACTGGGAGTTCCGAGTATAATTCCTGTACCACGGCAGACATGGAGGAATCAAGTGGAACTGGCTGAGTCTCTATTCCGGATGACAGCATTAGGGCAGATGTAGATTATGGAGTCAAGTCTTACATCAAACGGTTCACCCTGACACAAATCAAAGGAAGGGATAAAAGTTTAAAACTTTGCGGGGTTGAAGAAAGCTGTCTCAGCTCAACCTGGCAAAAATAAGGACAATAAATTCTAACTCAAATGCCGGCATTATCTGGCATTAAAAAAAATTGTCTTTAATAGACTGAATTTGTGGAAAACAAATGATGTAACTTTAAAGACCAAAGCAGGCCTGGCTGGTGTGTCTCAGTGGTTGAGCATCGACCTTATGAACCAGGCAGTCCTGGTTTGAATCCTGGTCAGGGAACATGCCTTGTTGTGGGCGTGCAGGAGGCAGCCAATCAATGATTCTCATCATTGATGATTCTATCTCTCTCCCTCTGCTTCCCTCTCTGAAATCAATAAAAAATATATTTTAAAAAAGGATCAAAAGTTTTCTACTTTGCTTTAAAGGCATGAACTTTGCTCATTTTCTTCACTGCTATATCCCCACTGCTTGGAATAGGTACTTGACACAGAGTAGGTACTCAGTAAATAACTGCTGAATGAATATATATACTGAAGGACTCTGAAGAATATGAATCACTGGTTTTTCTTTATTAAGATACAGGCTGTCCCCAAAAATGTACACACGCTTTGAATAATTAGTAATCCCAATGGGTTAAATATGAAAAGAAAGAAACATCAATTGAGCTATCAGCTGTTAAGTGTATATACATTTTTGGGGACACCCTGTACTTTCTGAAAGAAGATATAGAGAAAATGGAATTCTGTTCCTTCACTGCTTACCAAACACTTGAGCTGTACCTACCCAGGCTGGCACGAGACACTACCAAGCCAGGTCTTTTGCAGGTTCCTTCCTGACCTTTATTCAGCATCTTGAGATTTTCTAAGAGCCTTCACAGTCACCACTCACTTGATTCTCACAATAACCCTGTGAGCTAAGTAGGGCAGCTATCATCTTATGATTTTAAAATCACACCCGAAGAGGTTAAAAATGACCTGCCTACAATATTACATGGTTATCTGAGAGGAAGGAGGGGGATACCCAGGGGACTTCATTTGAAATGGAACTGTTTAATTTTTTTCATTGGGTAATGGAAACACAGCTTATTTGCTGAAATAATATTTATATCTATGTAGGTCATAATATTATATCATTAGTCAACACACACACACGTGCACTCACACAGAGCTAGAAAATGGTACACTCACAACCAGGGTTTCCTGACCGGTAAGTTTTCCATTTTAGTCTACCAATAATGTGTGCAGTTTCCACAAAATCCACTGTGACCTCACCAACGTAGAAGCTGATTAACCCCATAAGATACTGCATGCTTACATTCTGATGCTTTCCCTAACCCTAACCAAGGAGAGGAAAGATGAGAAATAGTTGGCAACTCAGTTCGTTACAAGGATTAATTGGAGGTATTGATGGCACATCCCTTTGGCCAAAATGCACCGTGGAAAGAAGGGATGTTTCAGAAAACCAGCCAATTTCTCCTCCCCGCTTCCTAACGTCCAGCTTTCCCCCCAAATAAACGTTACACACCTGTAAGGTCCAGTGCTGGCTACTGAACGGTCTCACCTTCTCTTCACTGACCACAACCAGGTTTCTGAGCAGCAGGGACTCCCAGCACACCATGTAAATCCTCACAACGCCGTTTCCTTGGCCCCTGTGTCTACTCCTACCTCGATTATCTCGGGAGCCCGCTGATGTCACTTACACAGATGTCCATGCTCTGCCTCCAAGGGAAGGAGCACCCACTGTGAACACTCCTGTGCTGACAATCGTCCCTCCTTGCACAGGTCCCATCCTCTCCCCTGTGCCATCTGGACCGAAGCTGGGGGCTGAGGACAGAAGACAGGTCCTCACTCTGGACCTTTCTGCCTTTCTCTTGGTTTTCTAAACTGCTGGATGTTTTATTCATGTTCCTATGATTTCATCCTCTGGGTGCCCTTAGTTTTTTGTTTGTTTGTTTTTTAATATCCCAGCATCTCAGTAATGACATCCCCATTATCCTAGAGCTCATACTTGAACTTTATCAGACCTTCCACTTGCCTTCGTGGACTCAAATCCAGCAGCGTCTCTAACAAATCACACTCCTTTCAGTCCCCATGGTCCTAATTCAAGATTTTGTTCTGAACACGAACTTACATAAAAATACATCTTTATCACAAAGAGGCAATATTGATAATCACATAAAATGGCTCAAAATATTCCTCAGAGAAGAGAGTACCTTTCCCTATCTTATGGCTCCATATACACTGTAAACTCGCACTGGCTACAACTCAATTTTAAATGCTTTGGTCACCAAAAGATAATTTCCAATTTACAAAAACCAAACAACACATCATCTCTGGATGCTCGTGTCTGGTAGAGACAAAATTCTTAGAATTTGCAATCTGTGGAACAATGAGGCACATTGGCTGTGGAAGCAAAATAGACAAGCCCTCCTTTCTCTCCTTGCCCAATTCTGGGTCCTTCAGTTTCTCAGCCGTGTCTGCAACTGAGTCACCAGGAACAGCTGAGTGCCTTGGCCAGAACCCTCAGAGATGGAGTAATATTTAGATGCAAGCCTCGAGCAGCAGTACAAAATCATTCTCAGCTCTCTAGCTTGCATCACTAAACTCTTCTCTCAATTTTTGCCATCTATTATGTTATTGGTAATGCCACAAGACTGCAGGAAAATACCCCAAAATTTACCATTCAAGTTCTTTAAAATGAAATCTCTGAATACAATGGAGCAATTAAAAATGGTAAAGAAATATAGTTCTACACAGAAAGTCAGAAATATTTTACCCAACTACATAAACATTAGGACTGCTTTATTTAGGGAAAATATATATGTATATAAGGAAATGTTTGAAAGACTGTAAGCCCAAGAGTGATGGAATGATGGACGATGAAAACAGTGATGGGTGATGGAATCATGAATGACTTCATTATATGTTGTACTTTTTCCTTTTTTACAATGAGTATGCATTCCATATGTCGAATTTTTTAAAACATTATCTCCCAAGACCCAAATACAGCAATAAATAACTGTAACTGTATTGTGCCTTTATCAGTATCACCCCAGATGTCAGCTCTCTAATTCAACCACAAAGTTTTTACATTAAATGTTCAATAAACTTCAAGTAGGAGGAGAGAGTAACACATGCTTATAAAATGTAGATAGGGATTTAGGGTTTAATCCTTGCTAATGACTTATAACCAACCTTCTAGGTAAGGATACCAGATAATTATCTAATTTGAGGTATAAGCAAGAAATAACCTAGAGGCTGAGGAACAACTCTTACCAGCTGCTATTGGCTTCATCTTTACCATAACATAAATAAGACTTCGATTGTTTAAAGAATGGATTTTTTCCTAAAGGAAAAAAATGACTGATATTTATAGGGAGTATGCAGAATTCTTCCCATAAAAGAAGAAACTGTTTTGAATTGAGAACAAATATGCCCGGATCTTTGTCTCAAATGCAGAAGCGGTGCGGGGCGCAGTCTAGATGCTGGTTTTCCTGTGGGGCGACCAGGGTCCCTATCCTGTCATGCACTTGCTGGCAGCTAGGCTTGGAGTGTGTCCCTAACTTCCTCAGGCTAGTATTTCATGTGTAAAGTTAACAAATTAAACAGAACAATCTCAAAGGTCCTGCCCCCCATAAAAACCCCATAACTCTAAAGAAAACTGTTCTATTTCACTGTTTCAGCAAAGCACACCCAAGGCATCCAAAATGGTGGTATAGAGCTCAGACTAATCCCCACTGTGCTACTCAAGAGCAAGCAGGGGTAATTTAAGACTTTACATACAGAAACGATGAAAGGGCACCCTGGCAGTGTTCATTCCTATCCCACCCAGTAACAACAGCTCGGGTGGTGGAGAGACAGCCCGTGAAAGAGAACGCTGCAGCTCCCCATCTCAATACGTTTATGACACTAAAAACCTGACAGAGTGGCCTTTCCACTTTAGTCGCTCCGACAGCCCCCCAAACAAAAGTTCTGGGAGTACAAAGTTTGTGGCACTAAGAAAAGAAATGGGGGGCGGAGGGGGGGGGGAGAGAAGGAATCACACAAAGAAAACAGCAGGAGAGAAAACCATGTGCCCCAATAATCCCAAGGCCGAGGGTCTCCCCTCCCTTTCTCTCCAAATGTAAAGGGGCTGCCTGAAGGAACGAACAGCGAGTACCAGCGGGCGCTCACAATGCCATGATGACGGGCCCTCAGACGTTCCCCACCCTCCCCTCCTTGCACCCGGGAAAGGGGCTTTCTCCACCAGCGATCAGACGCTGCAGCCAACCCTTCCAGGAGGGAGTTCGCGGAAGGGCCTCTTCTTCACGCCCAGAGAAAGAAGGCTCTCTGAACCCCATCTCCACACAAACTGAAAGTGGGGCAGGGAAGCCCACCCACGGACAGGGCCCCCGCTCTCCAAGACGGAGCGCAGGCACCCTCACCAGCACCCACTGCTCCCCTTTCCCCGCTTCACTCACCTGCAGAGCAGCCCCCGTGCCCACCGGGGAGGGAACGCTCCTCTCCCCACGACGGGCTCCCCGCAGGAAAGGCTGGGGCTCCTCTTTCAGAGGAAGAGAAAAGCAGCCACCGGAGCTGCTCTCAACAGACAGCAGAGAAGGGTCCTGCTCTCAGGGGTATTTATTTTTCTTGGAAGAGCAAGAGACACAAGTTGGACTCTCCCTCTCTGGAGGGGGGCGGGGGGACTAGCTCGAAGGAAGCTTTTTCTCACCAGAGAAAGTACCGGGAGTGGGAGAGGACATCTCCAACCGGGGAGGGAGCGAGAGCTGCTGGGAACAAAGACAAGGCTGGCCTCTGCACCAGGCCTCCCGACCTCCTGGAGGACAGACTCGCTTCCAAAAACCAAGTCTATTTCCCAGAGGATTCTACGGGAGGCCCCCTCTGTTCGCTGGGGGGAGTGTGGTGGGACCTACAAGGATGAGAAGCGCCCCTCTCTCCACCCAGGGGAGAGGGAGGGGGCTCCACGTGGGAAAGGGTGGGTTGAACACTTGCCATAGGGGGTGAGGCTGGGGAGGGGTGGGTTGGGGGTGCCGAGAGGAAACATGTTTCTCTGGAGAGGATATTAGTTTCCTTTTTTAAAAAGCAAGTGAAGTAACAGTTGCTAGCAACAATTGACCACAAGGTTACAGCCACCGGCTGAGCACTCCCACAAGGTCTCCCGGAGCCCCCGGGACATGTCTACCCCGACCTGAGAGGGGCTGGGGGGAAAGGTGCAGCCATCGGCC